GGGAGGGCAAAGTAAGAGCACCAGAAGCTTGGACAGTTACAGTCTTTAAAATGTGGAGGCATTATTAATTTCAAGTCACAAGGGATTTCTATAGACTGTGTATTGAAGTTGGCTGTATAAATTCTTTATGCACTGATGACTGGATGTTTTATGTGTTCTAAGAAGCAATATTAATTAATTAATCCTGTGGCAAAGGATTATGAAATGGCTTTTGCTTCTTATATGGAAAGGTAATACACCCCATCATCTACTTTTTTACATAAGTTGTTTGTTTCTCCAAACTTACCTGTCTCTGATGTAATGTTTTACTATCAGAATGTATGATTGTGAGGTAGGATGTGTGAATACAGGCTGATCCAACTGCTTTAGAGATGGCTGCAAGTGGTCAGAGATGTGTGCACTTATTTCCAAGAGTGATACAGACTTTCTTCGAAATAGGTGACTTTGGTGAGGATTTCAGAAGATTTGCTTTGATTCCAGCAGCTCATGGGTACTACACTGGCAGTTTATGGCTGCATGGATTCTAAGTGATAGAAAGTAAGAAATGCTTGGCAAAGTTTATAAAGCTTTTAGAGCCTCTTCCTATTGAAGAACTTTAAACAAGCTAAAATGCACCAATAGCTTTTGCTTTTGATTATTTTTCACCTCTACCTCCCCCTCCAATCCCTTTTTAGATGGCTCCTAGCTATGCTGGTGTCTACACTGTGTAGCATTGTCATCTGGTGGATTGTTTGTGGCTCCCTTCTGCCCAGCCTGCTATTCTGTCTAGATGGTTTAAGAACATAGTAACCATCAGGATCCCCTGAAAGAGAGCCACTGTGTAAGTGTCCCATTCCATTTCTCTACAATAGCTCACACTTTCTGTGTCTCACACTACTATGTCTCACACTATTATGTCTCACAATTGCATGTTTTCATGTCATATTTCTTACTTGCTTTATTGCAAGAGTGAATTTCACTGCTCTGGCTTTGTTACATTCTTGTGTATATTTTTGTAGAATAATTGAGTGATTTCTATGGCTGGCTTGCAATATACAAAGGCAAAGAGCTCTTATAGTTAAAATAATTTTTAGTTTTGAAGCTTTTCTTCTCTGCAGATAAGCAAAAGTACGTAAGCAAAATTATCTGTAAGAAAGAAAAAGTACTGCTTTAAAATACGATCCTATCCTTTGCATATTGCAGATGCAGATGTTAGCTTCAATTTTACTTTGAAGTTCATGAGCTTGTGTTTCCCAACACATTCTTTTATTCCCATAAAATGTAAAGGATTAGAATTCATTAGAAATGTCAGTAGGTCTTTGTTTCTACAAAGAGATCAAATATTATATGCCATGGCATAAAACATGACTTCCTTTACCTTTTCGACAGAAGAGAAGATGGGTCAGGTTGCAGTGTTAGGACAATGCTCACTTGTTTACCCAGCCAGTCTGGTTTCATCATCCTTTGCTCATAATTATGTTTTCTAGAGCTTTAGGAGACTACTTACGTTCCTTTATTCTGTTACTTGGATTCAGCAGCTGAGAAAACATTAATAACATCAGTTCCTTGAGTTCAATTTCCACTCTTTCTTCACTTTCATCAGAGTAGCTATAGTGATTTCTGTGACTGGCTTCTACTTAAAAGGTGCGGTGTTTTCATCAAATGACAACTTACATCTTTTGGTCAAACAAAAATTCCAACAGCATGCAGAACTTCCAGGAAATGCAAATGAACTTTTTTCCTTGTTTTTGAGTCTCCCTGGAGCTCCTCTGTCATCACCACTCTCAAAGTAGAATGGTTACTTTGGGTGAATGCTTGAAGCCTTGGTGCTCTCAGAGTAATAAAATGGTCAGAAAGTCTTTTACTAAGTAAGAATAGGGGTTCTCTCCTGACAGGCATGAAGGTTGAGATTTTCTGTCATCCTTACCTTTGGCCTTGCAACGTTTTGTCTGCACTTTTTAAAAAGCATGAAACTCTTTCTGCTAACCTACTGAATAACTATAGAATGAGAACTGGGAGACTTTGGACAGGTTAGTTATTCAGTTAACCTTCACTGAGGTCAATTTAATCTGTTCTTTTTGAGAAAAAAATGATAAAGAAGATCACTTTGGCTTAATTTTTCTCCCTAACTTTGTAAAATAAGATACTTGAGAAGCATTATTCTAAATAACATGAGATGTATGTTTTCTAAGTTTTACACTGTATGAAGCACTATTTCTTTTCTCAGTGGTCTCTGAGTTAGACCTCAGGTTTCTGAGCACATACTAAAAAGCTAAACTTACAGCACAGGTTAAAGAGGTGAAATAATCTGTGCTTTGTTTTGCTGTACTGTGCTGTAAGGTCAATTTCAGTCAACTGTCATCCTTTCTTTCTCTTACTGTGTGTGTGTTCTGTCAGAAAACTAGAATCACTTTTTCCTTGCTAGAGAAAAAAAGACTGTGGTATGATGCAAGTAATTTGGTTATTCCCATTTGCTGTGAATTTCCAATTACTGGTGCTGCTGCTTGATTTTCAAGATTACAATCATACAATGTTGGTTTAAGTATAGGGAGGGAAAACATTCAGGCTTTTCTTAAAAGCTTGCCTAACTTTCCATTCTGTGGCTAAAATCTCTTGTGTTTTAAGAGATCAAATTATCAGCAAGGATCATGGATCAATCTGGGCTGGCCTGGAAGTTGTGTTGGCTGGAGCCTTATATGCTGAGGAGTTACGAGTCACTTGTTGCCTGTCAGTGACTTGGAAGAGTGGTAGAGGTCTCAGGTCTATTTTCTTAAAAATCATGAGGTGATGAAGGAGAAAGCAATACTGCACTTGACAGACCTTGTAAGACAGGTTGCCCAGATTTGTTGGCAAGACTAAAATGCCTTTTGCAGACAAAGACATGCATCTCTGTAACCTCTCTTTTCTTTATCTGTGCTTAGGATATTGCAATCACATATTTTAAAAAAAGCTTGTTGCGTGGCTTGATTTCTGTCCAATTTGTATTGTGCTGTTTGCAATTCAAGTTTTGTTGATTTTGTCTTAGGTTGTGGAGTTTGGGTTTTTGTGTTCTGGTGGTGTGCCTGTGTTCCACCCTGCACTGGGTTAAATACTGAAAAAAAGTTATGAGTTATTTAAAAGTTGCTGCTACTGACACAAACAGTGTTTCATTTAAACAACTTTTTATTTGTTTAAAGGTCAAGGTAATAGCTTGAATAAGAAAGTGAATGAATAAACTAGTCTGCTATTTGTGGTATGTATTTAGGATCAGAGCTACCAAGTGATGTTTCCATTGCAAATGAACTGGAGATGAACAATTCTTAGTATGTATGTTTAATAGTGTGACTGTTACAACATCCTGTAGCCTGAGGTTTTAGGTGGTTTGTTTTTTGGGTTTTTGGTTGGTTTGTTTGTTTGTTGGTTTGGTTTGGTTTTGGTTTGTTGTTTTTTGGTGGTTTTGTTGCTGGTGTTGGGGTTTGGTTTGGTTTGGTTGGGGGGGGTGGGTTGTGGTTTTTTGCTTTTCTGGTTTTTGTAGGGCTTTTTGTTACTGTGTTTGGTTGTGTTTTTTTCATTTTTATCATATTCCATTGAGTTAGAAAACCTATGTGTACATCAGATGTGTTTGCTGGTGTTTCTGAAGGTTGTATGACATAATATTTTATGTCAACAGCTACAAAGCAGTAAGGTAGGTGTGCTGAGATCTTACACTTCTCTAACATAGTTTTGGATTTTTTTTTCATGCTGACATTTTGGCAGGAATTCCTCTACCATGGCTTCATCTCACATCTGTTATAAAACCTATCTATTGAACCTGCTGTCAAGTGAAGGCTGTTAGTCAAATTGTGTTAAACCAAAATTCCATACTTTAGTTTCTTCTCTCACCCTTAACATCCATGCAGTAACATTCTAATAAAAGCTGTGATAGCACTGTTGCTGTTTCTCAGCTGACAGTTGTCAGGCTCAAAGGCAGTTCTGGGTGTTTATTTGTAACAACATGTCAGCCAGCGGTGCAAATGGTATCTTGTCTGTTTTCCTTGAGGTGCTATCAGCCTTGAAAGTCTAGAATTCTACTCTGATTTGAAAATGTCTGTGTGATAATTTAGCAAGTGTTTTGTTCACAGTGATTTCAGTTATTCTTTCCTGTAGAGTAGGCCAGTAAAGTTGCATGTATCTGAAGTGTAAAAATGACGTATCAACTGAAGAGCAGATGACGTTAAAGATTCTACCTGCTCACAGCTGGCTCTGAGGTAAATATGGTAATGCCCTGTGGTAAATGCAGCAAACTTACAAGGATGTTTTAATGGTCATTTTGGCTTCATGGTAGTTATTTTTATTTTAAGTCACATTTCTTTTTATAGCTTCATTTATTTTCTTTCTTTGTTTTGAATGGATAAGATGAAATGCTCTTGGAAGTAAAGGCTACCTTATGATATGTTGAAAAGATGAATATTTAAGTGTTTTTGCAAAGCGCTATCTTGATAATTCACAGTGCTTCACAGAATCACAGAATGGATAATGTTGAAATAGGCCACAGTGGGTCATCCAGTCCAAGCTCCCTGCTCATGCAGAGTCATCCCAGAGCACATGGCACAGGACTGTGTCCAGACAGTTCTTGAATCTCCAGTGAGGGAGACTCCACAACCTCTCAGGACAATCTGTTCCAGCACCTGGTCACCTGCACGGTAAAGAAGTACAGGTGTTAAGTTCAGAAGTTCCTTACATTCAGGTACATACATACTTCCTGTGCATCACTTTGTGCCCAGTGCCTCTTGTTCTATTGTTTGGCACCACTGAGCAGAGCCTGGCTCTTGACACCCCCTTCAGAACTGACAGACATTGAAGAGGTCCCCTCTGTCATTTCTTCTGGAGCCTGAATAGACCCAGCTCCCTCAGACTTTCCTCATAACGGGGATGTCCAGTCCCCTCATCATCTTCATATCCTTCCACTGGACTCTCTCCTGCAGATCTGTGTCTCTCACATGCTGAGGAGCTCAGAGCTGGACACAGCACTCCGGGTGTGCCTCACCTGGGCTGAATAAAGGGGAAGGATCACCTCCCCTTACCTGCTGACAATGCTCTTCCTGATGGTCCCCAGAACAGTAGTGGCCTTCTTGGCCACAAGGGCACACTGTTGGCTCATGTTTCAGTTCATGTTAGATAAGTACATGGGTTTAAGCCATGCACACTGACCAATTTTCTTAACTTCTGGTATCTATAAAAAATGCGTGTTTATGAGAGAAAGATTACAAAGATCACATTCCAATAGCTTCTGCTTTCTTTTATATGTATATTGCATGCATTTTATGCAGAAAAAGACCAAATGTATGTATTTAAGGAGAAAACATGATTTTTCCATATTTCTGGCTGCATGAGCACTACTTAACCAGTATGTGCTGTGATTTGTTTCTGTTTCAGTGACTAAATGGTATGAGGTTAAGCAGACTTTGTGCTTTTCCATTCATTTCTAGGAGTTTCTATCAGACCAGATGAAAGGTATAATGCAAGTCTTATTTCACCACTGCTGTAATTTTTGTGCTTGGTTGAAAGTGTGGTAGACTGAATTTATTCATTCTGTATGATTACTGCGGCACTGAAGAAAGAATTTTAATATTAGAACTTGTTAAAATTATTTTACAATCATAATAGAAACTATAGCATAAGATTTCAGGTTTTAAATGTTTTCACCTTGGGCATGCAAGGGAGACATTTTCATTAAAAGAATTTGTTCTATTTAAAGAAGTATGATATGATGTTGAAGGTATCTGGGGGTGGCTTTTTCTGCCTCCTGTGAAAGCAATTCCTTCAGCTTTGAATGTCCTGTGTTTATAATAGAATTTGCATTGCATTTTGGTAGTACTTGTCATAGAAAACTTGAATCTTACCTCAGGGCAACTGGCAGTTTTTTTTGAACATTTGCAAATTGAGTGACAATAATTTGCAAAGCTGAGCTATTAAGAGAGATTTTTTTTCTAGTACAAAAAATACTTGAAATACTTGAATACTTGACTTGAAATTCAGTCATTTGTTTGCTAATCAAGAAGTGTATAGTAAAAATAACGTTGCTGATCAGTTTTACTTCATAAAGAATATATTTTAGATGAAATTGTGTTATCTCAAATGCATGTTCTAATTCTGAAATCAAGCCAATATAAAACAATGAAAACATTGGAGGTTTTTTCCATTTCTGTTTCTGGTGAGTATGTTACATGAATATATAAATGTCTATTTTCTCCCCATATATTCATTCCTCTTCACTTTTGATCCAAAAGTTAGCATTCAGTATTCATATATAGGATTCTGTGAAAGCAGTTTCTTCAGAGTACTAAGCGACCAGAATTTAGAATTTGTAACTTACCTTTAATGAAGGTTTTGATTTCCAGTCTAATGTAATCTGCTCATAGGACTGGACTGAATGAAGCCACTGAAAATTAAGGGTCTGATAATAGCAGGAGAATAAAGAGTAGTAGCTAAGTTACTCTTAGGTCAGAATCTCTAAAATGGTGCATACTTTCATAGCTGGAACCTTGCACAGATAGAATAGAAAAGAGATGTATAAAATGAAGCATATAGATAGATATCCATGGACTTCATTGACCAGTTGTCACATTCTGTCTGCATAGTATCATCATTTCACTACAAGCAGATAGGAAAAGACTTCATTTTCTTGTGAACCAGTTGTCTGGTGGATAAAAATAGTTGTTTACATTTCACAATCTGGTTTGGTGGTTGTTTTTTTTTTTTTATGTAAACAGCACTAGGATTTATCTGCCTGATTAAGAAGTAGTAAATATATTGCATTAGATGATTTTAAAGAAGAATTTTCTGAATTTATTCTGTATATTCTATGTCAGTCTGGAAAATAATGTTTGTTTTTATTGCATACTTCAGATTTTAACGCTGATTTTTTGGTTTTTGGTTTTTTTTGTAATTTGTGGCGTAATTTATTTGTGGCTGGTTTGGGTATTTTTGTCTTCCAAATACCTAATGCAAAATTCAAAACTATTAATTTGATCGATTCTTTCCAAGCCAAATACCTAATGCAAAATTCAAAACTATTAATTTGATCGATTCTTTCCAAGCAAAAAAAGCCCAAGAAAACCAACTAGCAAATCAAATTGGTATGCTCCTAATAAAAATAACTCACATTACCCTAATTATAATAGGGATATTAGGAAAGAGAAGGATGTTTCAGGCAGATGAGCTTGCTTTGTGGAAGGATTTGTGAGAAGCCAGCTGATACTTGTTAGCCCTATTGCAACTGTAACACCCTACTTTCAGTGGTTTTAGAAACTTTCCAATTATATAATCTTTCTTTTTTCCTACTCTTTACAGAGTAACTCTGAAGTCCAGTGTTCAGAAAAATAAAACCTCTGAACCTAGCATTTCTGACAATACAGTCATTACTAAAAGAACTACCAGGTCTGCTGCAAGAAAAAACAGTTTAAAAAGGTGAGAGTTACCCTCATTACAGATCCTGTTACCGTTTTCTAGGCAAATACATTGAGCTGTTGTATCCACTGCTGGCAGGAGCTTTGCCATAGTTCGGCTCCTTCTCCTGGCAGTGGAAAGTGAGAAACAATTACATGGTTTGTGTCATGTACTGAAAATATCTGGAACCTTACATCTTAGGTAGTTTATTTATGTTGCTCAGTCTTCCAAGTCTGAGAATTTTATGTAGGAATTCCTAATGTGAGTGAGAATTACTGAAGATGAGGGATTCTGGTAACATGATGAAACCCTTCTGCCTGGAGTAAGAGATGGAAACATTCCTCACTGCATTAAGTCAAATACTAGTAAATGCATGAAGTCAAAACTATGAAAAATTCAATAGACAACTGAAATGCAGTGGTTGTGGAAAGGTAAAGTGTATAAAAAGGTGAAGTGTATACTGATATGAGATTTTTTTTTTTTTTTACTGAGAGCATGGCTGATAATCTGAACTAAACCTGTTTGATAAAGCTTAATGAAATTCTCAATTCTAATGGGTTTATGCAAGACTGAAAGTGCCTTTTGGCCCAGAAGCATATGGCCAGACTACTGCTATGTATCTTGGTCTATGCATGTGATCACACCCCTCTGTGGCAACTCTCCAGGTCATTTAAAGATGAGCCTGAGAGCATAGTTTAAAACAATATCCAGACAATTTCCATTGTTTGCAATTTACTGGAATTTGTCTTAAACTCTTAGTGAAAAATTTTCAAATGGGTCTGTGAGGTGCTGGTGATTTTGACTGGAAAGAGTAAAAAATGGCACATAACTACTTCCTATGTTATGTGGCTAGATTTATAAATATCACTGAAAATTTAAGTTGTTTTGCAGCTTTTTCCTCACAGAGTTCATCTTTCTCTTTCTTCATTCTGTTTCCTTGAAGGTAATGAAGTTATGAAAAATTTGCTCTGTTAATCAGTGGAAATAGTCAGTAGACTGCAGTAAATTCTATTCAGAGAATTGTTAGTTGTGACTTTGTTTTGATTTATTGAACAACATATTAAAAAATAATATCTTTTTTCTGAAATAGGTATTTTACTAAAAATCAATAGTATTATTCCAGGTTTTTATTTTGGTTGGTTGGGATTTTCCTCCATTTTGCCTGATTTTCACCACATCAGTTTTGGTCAAATAGAATTGCTGGGATTCTGCCTGCTGTTTTAATTCTTCATGCTTCTCCTTGTTTTAACCTAACCTGCTGGCAGCATTTTGTAGCTGCATTCATGCATGTGTGTAATCTGAAGAGAGATTTTCACTTCCTGGAAATCATTTCTCCAAGCTGACCTTTGTTTTGTGTGAGATGTGAATACCTTTCCTTAGGAGAAAACAGCATCCCTAAAATAGAGTTCACAGAAGATTTCATTAATTTCTTAAGAAGTCCTTTAGATGTGTTGCCAGATTTACGATTCTGAAGGCCAAGGACCAGGTGGATCTCAAACTTCACAAATTACTTCCTTCATATTTTAATGGATTTTCTAAAACTTCTACCCCAAATACTTCACCATATACCATTTCTTTCTTCTGACTTTGGAGGTCTGACAAGTTCAGTTACATTTACCTTTCCATTCAATAATCAAATTTGTCCTTTTTCTGTCACAGTTATGTAGTTCTTAATTGTCTTATAATATGAGAGGGCTAACTGTGTGCTGGTCCCTCTGAAGGGTGTTTTGGTATGATCAAATAATTTTAATGGATCTAGAATGCTGTACTTTGTTGTTAGTCTTGTAGGTGTCTTTTTATTTTTCCTATAGCATTTTTTAAGCATGCTTTTTCATTTAATTTCTTGAAGTACGAGCAGTTTGCATTACCTCATAGTGCTCAGATTCACTGAACTTAACCCAGATCAAGTGGATTGCAGGGTGAAGAATAATTATTTCTACAATACTGACATCCTGCCCTAACCAACATCTGTCTTTGTCAAGACTTAATTTACTTCACTGAACTTCTGACATTACTGTGTATCCTTTTTCTTTCATTTTCTTTCTGATACATTTTCCATTGGAAAAATCTTGCACCATTTTTACATCAATCTCATTTTCTGCTTTATGTCACTTTAGTCAATTCTTTCTGTATGTGAAACACGCTTGTGACCCATCCTAATGCAGTATAATCTGCAGAGCTAGGGAATTCATTTGCCACTTCATCTTCAGACTGTTAGAGACATTACCATGGATTGTCTCCAGAATGATTTTTCGGCCAAAACAGCTATTTACAGCTAAAACACTATTCTGGCTTTTTAAAGAAAGCGCAGGGAATTTCAATTCCATCTATAACACTCACTGCATTTCCTTTGTGGAACATCTTTAGACATCAGCTGCCTTCTACAAAAGAAAGTACTGATGGACATAACATATAACTTGTGATTGAAATAATACTGTTTTTGAACTGCAGGAAATGACATTGCTAGCCTGTAACACACACTTTCTCTGTGGATGCCCTTACTTCTCCAGTTAAGACATCTTCCTTGTAAATTTGCCAGTTACCAAGAAGTTCTTGTCTGTATTTTAACAAGGTGAACACATCCAAACCAGCGTAGTCGTAAGACAGAAGTTAAATGGTCTTTTCCATGTTGCCACACAGAACAGAATTAAAATTAAATTTATAGTAAGTAGTTTAGATTTTAGAAATTAAATCTTGAGTGGTAAAGGCATTTTGATGGGTAGAGGTGCTTAAAGGAATGCAGGTAAAGTTATTACAAAAATTATAATGGGGAGTATAGAGGAAAATCACAAAAGCTAACAAAGAGGAATACACTTTAAAAATCTCATATGTCTTTTCTTTGCCAGATATTACAAAGCAGCCTTCTTGTTCAAATACTTATAAACTACCTGCATCATTTCAGAACTTTTCTATATATAATCTAAACCTAGCTTTAAAAAAATGTGTTTCTGTCCTATTCTTCCTACTTTTCCTATGGTCTGATACCTCAGAGGGAGAAGAAGAAAAGGAATGCTTTACACAAATGCACTTAATGAAATTATGGGATTTTGAATTCCCTTTTGCATTTCTATATGGAACAAAATTTTCTTCGTATTATCTGTGATCAGACTAGTCTATGCATTCTTGACAATCAGTATTACTGTGTTATTAAATGATTTTACTTTTTGTTTCTTTCTTTGAAGTACTGTTTGCTCATTTTACCTTGCCAGAAATGCTTGCTTGAAATACATACTGAGTAATCTTTAACTTTTTCCCTCAAATATGTTTTATTTCAACAGCCAATCCGTCACAAAGACTAGAACAGTATTGCGTTGAATTTTGAATAAGCCACCAGTCTTGAAGAGGATATTCAGGAGTGAAGGGGATATAGAAGGGACTTGATGCAATTCAAGGAAGATCACTTTGGCTGTATTTTTCAGCAAAAAATGAAATAGAACAACCTCTTTCTTGCCTGTAGAATAAAATGAACTGTCAACATGTTTGGTAGACCTTTTTCTACCGTCCTGACACTTTCTCAAAACCAACAAAATCTACATACATTCAGACTCAGGTGTAAATATTTTAAGCTCTCTATTATAAAGAGGGCTTGCCAGTATGTATGATGCATGTGTATGAATTGTGATGGCAATCACTTAGCTGCTGACCACCAGATGGTGGGAGCTTTTAAGTATATAAATCTGTGTTCTGCATTCAGACTGGGCTTAAGTCTTCACTTAAGTCTGAGAATCAACCACAAAAGATGTTTTTTCTAACAGTATTGGTACTCTCCTGTGTTGATTGGCTGTTCTTTCTTACTTTGTATGAAGTTTTTTATGAAGCTGCAGTATTGAGTACACAATGTAACTATTGTCCACCAAAGAGTGCTTTATTGTCAAAGGTTGTGTGGTTTATTTAGGAAAAAATAATTGTGAGTGATTAACTTGTTTGTAATAGTGACAGCTTTTTAGTTGTTCACAACCAATTGCTCTTTGAAATAGTTATAACTGCTTTAAATCTGGTACGATTTTAAAGAGGGGAGAAACACTACCAGTTAAAGCAGTGCTGCCATATTGAAATGTCATTGCTGTTTCTTTTCCTGTCAAGTCCTTTAGGTGAAACTTTAAATTACTATATATGAAAGGTAAGAATTCCCCCCCGATTTGATTGGTACACCTGGTAACCTGGACAGTGCTGGTTTTTTACTCTGTGACACTTAAAGAATGCAGCACACAAAAAAAGGGAAAATAAGAGTGCCATACAACTGAGGTACTAGAATTCAGGGGCAGGTAAAAATTTTGACAGATAATGCTTTAAGAACTACAATTTACCTCTGTTAAAAAGCAGTGGAATTTTTAGAGGAATCTGCTTGAGACTGAAATTTTCATTCCCTACAGGACTACAGTGGGGTTTTTCTTCCTACTACTTTTCACATTATGACATTTCAAAACTGATGTACCCTTGTCCACCAGCTGATGGTTATAGCTGCATATCCCTCAGATGAGGGCTGTTACCACATAGCCTTAAATATAAATCAGTTATCTGTTGATTTAATTACTCTTACAATAGAAAGTGGAAGAAATGGAGAAATCTGAAATGTTAGTATTGGAATAATTGAAGTTTTTAAAGATGCATATTATCTCTGTGAGAGAGGGAAATTTATTTCAATGAATGTAGATGTGCAGTGGCTAGTTTTAATCCACATCCTTTTAAATAGAAACTAAGCTTCCTATTAGGCTGATGACTTTTGAGTGCCAGTATGAACATCACAGAGTGGTTTTAACACATTTGAATCATGAACTGTAGAGGAAACAGGATATGAAATGTAAGCAAGCTTACAGGTAACATCCATGTGCTTAGCTAGACAAAAATCTGCAAATATGAATACAAATTAAAAAGAAAAGGTTTAATGCAAAATAAAGGATCATTGAAGGCTCAGACTGAAAATATATTTTTTGTTTTCTTCTTAAACTTCCCTATTTACCCCCTTTTCTTGTAGATAAAAAGCTTCTAAAAGAGAGAGACTGATCATCCTGATAAGGCAGTTAAAATTCCTTAGGGTTTGAATGGGATTGGTTGATTTGGTTTGTGGGGGAGGGGAGGTTATTTGGTTTTTTGGGGGTTGTTGCAGTTTAGAGGTTTTTGGGTTTGGTTTATTTGGTCAGGGTTTTTTAGTTGGGGTTGTATGGTTCAGGTTGGTTTTCTTGGTTGGGTGTTTTTTTTAGTTAGGCATTTGTGCAAAAGCTTACGTACAGGCAACCACAATAGTAGGTCTGTTGTGCAAACATGAATCTGTTAATTTTTGAACAAAATTCTCGTCTTGGAAGGCAAAAAGGATGCAAATTGTGAAGTGAGAATCAGAATAAAGATTCAGTAGTATTTTCTGTGTTTGGCTTTGCCCTTCTCTCAGCTGAGCTGCTTGTTTTAGCATCCTTTTTTTAAGCTAAAAATAATTTGTCTCCATCTCACGCCTTCCAAATTCCAAATCAAAATTTGCCTCATTTAAAGTAACTAGCAGAGTCATTAGCACTTCTAGGTTTATAATGTTAGTGCATAATGTTAGTGCACAAACAATAGCAACTCCAGCTAAACCAAAACTACATGTTTGGCATCAGTCTGTTTCAGGATACCCCATCCAGGACACAGTACCTTGGTGAAAAACACATAAATGTCCAAGGGATGTTACATTTTAACTTTCCAAACAGCCTTATATGGAAAATTAACTCATTACCTCATTGTGCCCCTCCAATTGTACTGTTTAGTTTGTTACAAACTTTCATTATAACATTTTTAATGTACCATACCAGAAGTTTTTTAGGTAAAAGAATGAAGAGTGGGCATGGATGAGGAAGTCTTTGGTTTCTAGATTTTTTCTGAATTGTGAAGTATTACATGCCAAAATTGAACATGTTGTGGTAGTTGCATCACCTTTGTACAACAGAAGTTGTTTCTACTGTCAGCATTTAGGAGATTCTGCTTAGAAATTCTCTTTCAAATGTGACAGATGGATTCCCCCTCAATCTATTAACACAAAATATACTACATGATCAAAAGCTGTAATATCTTGGGTGAAATTTCTACTTTGTGTTACAGCATCAAAAACACTCAGATGTTAACCTAGACCCTGTCTTTTTGCCTCAGTATGACAGTAGAGGAAGCACTGCTGATTTAAAACAGTAAGAGATGATAGGAAAAAAAATAGAAAACATACATGTGATGTTCACCAGTTTGTTGCTCTGCAGTTTTTGTATTAATTGTTTGCAGACTGTCATATGTCATATATAAACATGGGTAAACACAGACTATCAAGGTCTAAAAGTTTTTGACTAATCAGTACTGTTCATCCTGATTATTTTTAAACTGTATATTTCTAATCATATTTTTTTAACTAGGATTGACAGAATGAAAGTTTATTTTGCTGAAGGTATTTTTAAGATAAAGCTTCATATTATCTTGTAATATTAATTAGTTCAATATGCATTTCTGTGTCATTTGAAAATACTGCAGACTGCATTTTATAGAAAATACTGAATAGTGAGAAGTGTAAACATGAATTGTGTAAAATTAAAAATAATCAGAAGGGTTTTTTTCTGTTTTATTTCCAGTACGATCACAAAGCCATCTGTACCAGACTGATTCTTATGTGCACTGAAAAAAACACAACACACTCAGCTGCCTGAAAACCTTTTAATTAAAACAGACTCTTAAAACACATTTTTAAAATTTAAAAAATAGAGACTTTCTAGCTCTACATTTCTGGGAACTCACATTGGAAAACAGTACATGTATTTGAATTGTTGGGATACTGTTACACAGTGAAAAAAGCACAGTAGGACAGAGCAGCATGGTTTTAGTTATTATTTCTTCTTCCTCTATGATTATATAGTATTAATTTTTAGAAACAGGCAGTATCCTAAATACTTTATGCTTTGTTGTTTACCATGACAGTGAAGACCTCCCAAAATAATGAAATCTTTAGGAACACTGATTTTTGCACAAGCAGTGGTGAGGGCCCTGGCTTGGTCTTTTAAAAAATACCAAAAAGCAAAAAATAGTGACCAATTGAAAAACTTACCGCCCTTACCTTACCTATATTAGAAAACACAGAATTCACACACACCAAGCAGAGCCAGTTTGACAAGCAAGTAAACTTCTGCTTGCCTCAAAGATAGTTTGATATTTGGAAAATCTGTGTTCTTCTGTCGTAAGGCGACCTTTCCAAATTTACATGAATGTTTAAGCACCTTTTCCTGACAAACAGGCTGCCTGATGAAGAGTGAACAATGGGTTCTGACTGGGAGAACACTAATTTAGGCATGTGATGCCCACAGGAAAACACAGTTAACCCCTATCACACCATTAGCAGTTTTATGAGTACTGGCACTGGGCAGGGGAGTGCAGAGGACTAAAAGAATCCCACAGAGAAAAATTGAGCAGGGGCCTGAGACAATTGCACTGAAAAGTTAATGTTCTGCAAGAATAATCTGTTCACAGTAGTTCTGAGTAACTTCAGTTTCGGTCTATTTAGCCTCCTTTGCAATCCAGTTTCTACATTGCTTATGTAAGAGTAGACAAAAACGTGCTATAGCAAAAAGGATGCACTGTTATACATGAAATCTGAATCTGGTTTTATAGAGAACCTATGCTTTAAACCTACATTACCAAGGGTTTGTTGAGGAAGAGATGTTTTTTACCTGCACTTCTGGTTTCATATGGATGTGACTAAGAAGTCCTAAATATGGAATAAAGCAAAGAGAACACAGACAAGGGTGATGTGCTTTGGAAGCTCAGGGAGTGATGGACCAAAGCAGTTGCAAAGATCACTTTATCTCAACTCAAAGGGAACATAGGGTGGCCTTTGTTTTGGACAAATGACTATCAAAGTTTGAGTGGATCAACCAGTACTTCCTTAGTAAGAATAAAGACCAGGCCACTATGGGGAGAAGGATTATGTATGAATATATAAAACTGCCATAAGAATATCAAAGGGAGCAATGGGCTTCAACTGATCGACCCTCCCATTCCTTCTTGACACCTGGGGATGCCTGACATGGTGACAACGAGGATGTCTTTCATAGGGACCAGTAAAAGGAGTTGAATTGTGATTGATCTGTGTACTGCAATTGCTACATTAAGAATAACACTATGTCTTTGTGTTTTCAGTACACTTTATGTCATTCTAAACCAGAAATGCCACATGACATAAACCACCTTCAAGTAAGTAAATCTGGTATTAAATATGACACACTCCATCCATGGGGCATTTCCAGGAGCCTTGTTAAAATGTTTGACCATCACAAAAGGGGTGGGAGAAGGCAGCTAGAAAGTCTGTCCTTCAAACAGCTTCATTCCTGGTCCACGTCCACCCTATCAAAATCTGTCCTAGTTCTCAAGGCTGAAAGAGTCCAGACAGGCCAAGCAGCCACTGGTGTTTTTGATCCCTCAACTCAGCATGTGGTAGCCCTGCTGCATAAGATCATAGCAGCAGTGAAAAGCTCTTCTGTGTCACTAGCACCTCCAACTCCCAGGTTTTCCAACCATGCCAGTTGCTGCAGCTCAATTACAGCACTAACAGGATAAAGTGGCAAACCCTAAAGTCCTTGTACCATGGCAGCACAATGGAAACAGACCCTTGGCATCAGCTATTACAAATGCAAGAAAATCCAGAGAGGGATGCCAACAGCAGGAGGGTAAATAATGAAACATCTCTTCTTACCCTTGTGAGCTTGCTTTTGCCTCTGTCAGTACTTTGATACCAATCTTTTAAGATGACAGAATAATTCCATTGTTTTCTACTCAGTGGAAGGGCTCAGCCTCCTCATTATTCCTCCTTCAAACACAGCTTTTCTCTAGACCTCCTTGCATTTCTTCCTGAGTTCATGTTCTGCTATTATCGATCTTTCACCATTCTTCCCAAAATGGCATGCTCGCTGAACTGAATCTCTAGGCAGTACTTACAACACCTATTTGTCCTGCTTTCATGCTTTTAGGTGCTTTTTGTCCATCGCTTTACACCAGCATCTTACCTATTGTAAAGTGAACTGCTGTTAAAGGTTGATTTTTTTTTTTGAGTTCTATCTCTTCTTCCCACTGATCAGGCCTTTCCAGCCTCTGGTCTTCTTTCAATCTGGTGGCAGTTTCATTAAAAAGGTTACTAAGTTTTACTTCTCCCACAATAGCTTCTAAGATTCCAAGTCTTTCCTAGAGCCAGCAAAAACTCTGAAAAGAAGCACTCAATCCATAAGCAACAGAAATATAACCAAACAAGTAACAAATACAGAATTCCTGGATCAGAGTATGTCAGCTTATTATTCTCTTCTGGCATGAGAAAAAAAGAAAATTGTATCTTGCTGTTATTTTTATGTTTTGGCAGAGCTATCCTGCTGATTCAACTACAGAACAAATTCACAGTACACAAAATTCAGCATCTTTCATTCAAACATACTGTACAAATCTTGACAGAGGAACTGCTATTGCTAGAAGCAAGCAACAGTTTATTGAGACCTGCTAACTAGCTGTAAAACATCATAGAGACAACAGAACACAGGTTATGAAGTCACACTAGTTTTACTAGTAACTAGTTACCTAAACGGGGAGATCAGAAACTTAATTTATTTAAGGCTGGAACATATCCAACATAACACTATCATTAAATGTGATGCAGTATCTAAGGCTACACTGAAGACACAGCTAGCTGCAACACTTGTATCACAAATTTTAAAAGGCATTTGTTTTCAGAGAATTAATATGCCCGTAAAAAAGTATTTCAAGTTAAATTCTAAGTAACACAACCAAAGTGTAACAGTTGTTACTTGTTCCAAAGACTGAAGGCTGCCCCCCTTCAAGCACAAACTGTTCAGTACTTGCTCAGCATATACTCAGAGAGAACAACCTTTGATTTGCCCATTATTCACCGATTGAAGTGTATTTTTTATGCAAAGATAATCATGTTTCACATTTAATTATTGATCCACTGATAATGAGTCAGCACAGCATTACCTCCAACACTGCATATATGTATATATATATATGTGTGTGTATATACATACATATATTCAGGTTTTTTTATATGAATGTGTGTGTATGTGCCTGTGACAGTTCTGGGAAAAAACAAGGGAAGTTATGTGAAAATTATGTAATACAGGATTAAGAATAATCTTAATGGCATAAGCATATTAGAGGTATAAATTTTGTGATTGGGCCCAAAGCACACAAGGCCTGTTTCTATACCAAAAAATTCAGTAACCAGCTGAAAGCTCATTTCCTATAGGCTCAAATGCCCAATTTTCCTACTTATCAACTTGGGGATTTTTACTTCTGAGTCTTTAATCATTCTTTGGTATTCTTATCTTAAGCACAGACATTTCTCTTCTCTAACTTGTAAAGGCACTTTCATATTAATATATGCTTGCCAATCCTAAACCATAGTACTGCATATGATTCAACTGAACTACATAGTGTCAAGACTATCATACATAAATGACAGTCATGGAGAGAGGTGAATTCCTTTCTTTGCAAACTTGCTGTCACTTGCATGAATCTAAAATTTCAACCTGAAATGTAGCAGTTTTTCCTAGGCCATTGACTACATTAACCCAAAGAGTAACTGGTAGTAGTGCATTAAAGAATAACATGACTAAGATCTGCAACACAATTTAATCTCTTTTTAATATGCATGCAATGTTCTACTAGCATGTGTGTGTATATTTACACCTGCTGCCAACTGCTTTACATGAAGGAGTAAAAGCTACACCAGGAGTGACAGCAGCAAATCTGTACTTAACAGATACAGATATTTTGGTACCTGAAATATGACAGATGACAGAGATTTACAGCTCTGTTAACACAGCTAGGCAAAGAAATTGCATCACTGTCATCACTTAAAATTAATAATTTCTTTTATACACTTGGATATACCATCAACTAGAGAAACTCTTAAGCCATATTCAAGTCTGACAGACTGAAAAATAAAATTGTCACACATAGGTGCTCCAAGAAACTTGTGGTTTAAGCAGTAATCAGTTACACAAAATCTCATTCTTACAAAGTTTTGGATTGGATGGGTTGTATTTTTTAGTTTTGGTTGGTTAGTTTGTTCTAGTTTTAATTGAACAGTCTTGTAACCAGCCTTTTTTTCCTTTTAACCAAGAGTTTAATAATCTGCTGATCAAAAGTGGATTATACAGATAGATTTTCACAAGTCCTTTAAAGCATTCCCCAAAGGACCTATTTGTCGTTCTGTTTTGAAAGGCAGATCAGATTTAGAGGAATTAACAGTAACTTTGCAACAGCAGAAAGGAGATTGAGAAATAAAGCAATTCTCTCAGCCTTCCCAGAGAACAGTCAGAACTAAACTGAATGCATCACAGCAGATTGAGCCCAGTAGCACAGCACAGCAAAGATTTAAATTTTTAGTAGAAAAAAGGGAGGGTTACATTTAAGTATATGAACACCTTCCTTAGCAAGAAGAGGTGGTAGTAGAATAGAAGGCTACATTCAAAACATGATGGGAAATAGAAGGAAGCCCTGCAAAGAAGCTCTCCACATCTCTATGCATACACTCACCCCAGCAAGTAAAAATAGAAATAAATATTCAGACACATTCTTCCCTGTCCAGTGGGAAAATGGGAACAAGAAGGGAAGAACAAGTGAAAGATACCAAGACCCCACAGACAAAATCACTTCTATTCCACATTGATTAAATTGCCATTTTTGGAAGAAAAACAACACCTGTAAAATGGGCAACATCAGGTAAATCTTAAACTGCAATGATTTCAAATAACTTATTTGTGACTACAAAGTGAAGTAGTCGTGCATTATTTCATCCAGTTCATTTACTCAAAATAGCAACATGGGTTCCTCTAACACCAGCACTTTGCTTTCGGATGTTCTTCCTATTCTACTGCAAGTCAGAGCATCTCTGTGTGCCACTACAATAAACTTGCAGAATACAAAATCTCATGTTATAGAAAATTGTCATGTAAGTAGTTTAACAATGTAAAAAAAAAAATCCTCTAGGCTGAGCTACTCTGCTGACCATCTGTTCGGAGCTATTAGAAAAGAGTTTTTCTAGGATGACTACATCCTATTTGAGTAAAGCCTTATTAGTAAGAAAGTCTTTTAAGAATGTGAGTACTCTTAAAGTTTACTCCAAAGCAAAACTTTCTTTTCTTCTAAGTATCATCCACTATTTGATCTCAGAGACTGCTTAGAAGTGAGGCACAGAACTGGGAAAGTGAAAGGTTTATAGTCATCTGCTTTCCCAGTAAATTGAAAGAATGTGTTCAAGTTGAGCAGGCATTTGAAGACTCCTTTGAGGCTGACAGACTTCCAAAAGGTCCAGTGTGCTTGTCCTCTCATTTCTTTCTGTCATCACCTCTGGCACCATTTTCTTGTTTCTCTCAGATCCCCCAGAATGACTCTCAGTGTCCCTTTGGACAGTAAACAGAAAATCTGGCTCAAGTATGTTAAAGCTGCAATGAAAGAACATTGCACCTCATCCCCATCATCACAAATTTCTTGATAAGGCATGAAACATTTTAGTTGCCCCTGCTAAAATTAAAAGCTTTCTTAATAATACAGTTCTGTCTTTAGATCAAAATTCTTATTTTAATCTTCGAAGTAATTGCAGACTATATCTTGTTACTGAAGTAGGATTTATGCTAGGTGTTAATTCAAAGCATCTGTGCTGCTTTGATTTTGAAGATCACTTCCATTTAGAGAGATGTTCACTTTTTTTGGTGTGTACAGATTGCTGTTTAGGGTTTGGGGTTCCCTCCCCCACACTATTTTTCCCCCAGACTACATCCAAATAGCAAAAGCTTCCACCTACCACTCCAACTTCTTAAAATAATACCTCAAACCCAAAGCAATGTGCACTTCTCTTTATTTGCCAGACTCTGAAGAACTGCAACTTGCAACTATCTGAAATATACACTTCACCTAAAGGAAACAGCTTTCAAATGTACAGTGAAATTGAGTCCCAGTTGTAGATCATGTTGTACAGTTTACATTTCACCATGGTGTCATGGAGAACTTGATATAATCTCTATATATACATTTTTAAACACTCTTCCCTTTAACGTCACTTGAAGCCTAGTAGGGAAGTACTATAAGCCTTCCCATAAGTTTCACAAATAGAGGCAGACATTGGAACCTGTGACAGGACCCAGTCCACCCATGTTTCCAGAACCCAACTCTATCAGCAGACAGCTGCAATCATTCCACACCAAACACCAAAAAACTTTCCAGAAGGAAACAGGCTTCCTTAATCCACACCAGCATAGAACTGGTCTCTTCATAGTTACAAAGCAACTTTGAGATACCACCATTCACAATGGGTCTTCAAGCTAAAGCTGGAAAATCCTCAGGATCATCAGGATTTGGAGCCACAAGCTGTACCTATAAAGGAAGCAATGAAGTTCTATAAAAATGAATGCATTTCAAAAGTATCTGACAGCTATGTATATGTATTTTACCCTCAAAAGGGTTCATTCTTCTACTCAAATGCTACTTCTACTCAAATTGTATCCATCTCTATCACAAACTTTTATCTCAGATCTTATGACTACTATAATTTCTTTTCAGTGTGTATGTTTTTATAATGCTGCCTGGAGAGAACCAGAGGATCACAAGTTCTGCAACAGTGAACGAAGAAAAAAGTAAAGCAGTCTCAAGAAAAATACTGCATATTTTTAGAAGCAGCATTACTATATTTTTACATTTGAGAACCAATGAACATATTGAATTGTAGTTTTAATTGCTCTGATTTGTTACTATAAAGAAACTTTTTCTTCCAGATGAAACAAATGCATTAACATTTCCATATTATTCTGAAATTTCCTGGTCTTAAAGCATTTTAGTCACAGTAAAGCTTCTGTTAGTATGAAGAAATAAGATGTCATTTTTCCAGTGTGCAAATGCTTTTTTTTCCAAAGGAAAAGGTAAGTGGAAGAATTTTTAGAATGGTTATATTGAACACTCGAATCAACTTGTAGGATCACAGATTTACTGACCTCACTGTCAGTAATAAAAGTATTACTATATCACATGGATTTTTTTTTCAAAGAGATACAAGCCTTGAGTTATTTTAATTATTTCTCAATTTATGTCAAAACTCACTGCATCCTTTCCTCTAGTAATCTTTAGACCATCTAGTAATCAGACCTTTTGAAATGTGTTGAGAGTTGTGAGCCTGAATCAGTATTTAATTTCAAGTAACATAATATGGGCCAGGAACTCAGTATGCAGGATAACATACTATGAGACAGGAATTAGAAACAACTCTGTCACTACAGAAATCAAACTTTTACACAGAAAAGGACAGAACACACACAAACACCATCAACAACAGAAAAACAAAACAAAAAAAAACAACAAAAACAAACAAAAAAACCCAACACCAAACATAAAATCTATTACCACTGCTTCTGGTCGAGGTCCTGTCTCTTCAGGTCTTCTGCCACGACCACGACCACCTCGTGCTCCTCTTGATCCACGGCCAGGGCGAGGAAGATTCCCAAAATTAATATCCAACTGAGAAGTTATATCATTTACTGGTTTTCGAAAGACATGAGAATCATCTTCAAAGTCTTCTTTTCGCAACTAAAGAGAAGATCTGGTTAAAGCCTACAGTTTCCATGTATGAGTTTCTCCCCTCCCAAATTCACATTCACACTTGTATTACAGACTAGCAGTAGATAAACCAAGATGGTATCTGGAGTAGAAGACAGGCCTTAACATGTACAGGATTTTAACATAGATGAGGCAGCTTCTCAGATGCCTGGGGTAGTTCTTTGTTGGCTCAGAGATTCCTGGCAACAAAAGCTTCTGTACCAACTCCATAATACTGAAGAGGTTTGTCAGAAATATAATCTAGGAGGTTTTCAAAGGAGCTAGAGCAAAAGGCCATACCAAATCTACTTAATGTATTCATCTACATGCCTGCAGCTATGAGATTACTGTGGTTTTAACTGTTTCTAATAGCTAGTGCATGTCAGACTATTATTTCTACAGTCCCTATTAAAGTTATGCTGGGCAATAAAGTATATGTTAACTCATCCCTTATAATGATGAGTCACTTATTCAGTGTCTCATTCAGGGATTTCACTTGCCTATGATACACAGTTCCTGTACCTCCTGTTCTGTGTTCATTTTAACAAGGTCTCTTGATACTACCAGAACAGAAACTTTTTGGGTAAAAGGAAGAGGAAGTTGTGTGTATTCTTCACACATCTGTATTCTCTCTTTGGAGTTTGTGTAAGGTGCTCACCCCACCCCTACCATTACCTGTCTAAAAGAAAGAGGGGATAATGGCAACTCTGACCTAAAAAGTTTCACTAAAAAGAATGCAGACTCAATGATCTAAAGTGATTAAACAAGATTTGATGTTAATATTCTAACTAGAGAAAATATGTGTATTCATAAATGCATGTAGACTTCAAGGATCAAAGTAAGTGCCAGACTATATGCACATGCTTCTGTGACTCCCAAAACATGAAATCTAAGTCAGCTAGAATTTGAAAGAAGCTTCCCCTCTCTCCTCAGAACCAGTAGTTCTCCCTGAAATTTCAATCTAAATAATATCATGGAGTAAAATTTAGAGGAAATGGGGAGGGAGTGCACGCTACAGCACCACAAGCTCTCCAGGGTTAGTTCTAAGACACAGGACCCAAAAAACACACACCCTAAAAAAAAAAAGAAATCATTTTTCCAAGTGCACAATGAGATACATGCAAGTGTATACTGGCAAGGAAGCTAAACAGGATTCAAACTAAGGAAGTGTATAGTAAATCACGCTTCATAAATCAAGTTTTTCTAGCAGCATTACCAGAGACCTATACAAGTGGCAGCAGCTGAGACATGAGGTAGAACAACTTGATATATTACATGTTTGCATGGAAAATATGGGCAATCATCTGAGAGAAAAAAATGAACACACAATTTAAAGCCAGTCTTGGGGCACATGTCATTGCAGGGATAAAGCTTAGATACTGTTTTCTTGACTATTCAGATTATACTAAAACTAATAGAAAAAGAGTGAGTTTCCTAACCCTGGGCATAAAGAAGAGTTCATAGAATGCCCGAGGCAATGCTTACATCGTCACTATATTTTGACTTGTGAATAACCACTGCTTTGGAAGGAACAGTGGATTCTGGCTTCCGGATGTTGAATTCAGGTTTTGGTCGATTCCGTTGCTGAAGATTCTTCCACTCATCTAATGTCATCTCTTGAACCACTTCTTCCATTGGCTCTCCTTCAGCAGCTCTAGAAGTTTACAGTTTTAAAGTGAAAAACATTAGCTTGCAACATTCCAGGATAAACAAGAGCTCTTATCTCCAAAGTGGTAATACTAAACAAAACATTTAGAATGTTTCTTCACCAAGATATTTCCAATTTCACTTACTCTCCACAGAAACTTCATGTGATAGTTTTACTTTAATGTAACTTAGAGTATATACTTATGTACTCTCTGAAATTAATCTTATGAACAAATGCTGTCTCAACCTCCTGTATTAGTGCTCATCCAGTCTCATCCTGAATTCAAGCACTTAGATTCCAGATAAAATCATGCCTTTTGATCTGGCATATTCTTAAGCCTATGGTTTAATAGTGGATCTACTCCTTGTCAATATAGCCACAGTAAAAAAAACCCAAACACTCAAAGCAGTTTTAAAACACTCCTTCATTGCCTTATGCTGCACAAGGACAATATGATATTAATTCAAGTTTCAGTGTAACTTTCAGTCAACAAAAATGATCATCATACGATGATCACACCATGGGATCTTCCAGGTGATTATAAACATTTCCTTTGTTAATTTCACAAGATGCTTCCTTGAATTTTTTTGTCAGATGTAGTAATAAACAAGCAGACAGTATTTATCACTTAGCAAAAACAGATTAATCCTAGTCAAATTTTCATTTGTCACTAAGTACAATAAAGATATGTCCTAGAAAAACATGGAATATGTCAGAGGCTGCCTTGCATATTTTTGAACTGTAAAGATAGAAGGTTTTATGTCTGTAAGACACAAAGACAAGACACATAAGCAAAAAAAAACACTTCCACTGAACACTGCTTGAGTACTCTTCTGCCACTTTTTTCTGCTGACCACAACAGGACTGCCCAGGACAGCAGGTTTCAGAACACTGCAGGTGTACATTTAACAATACCTACAGAAAGCTATTTCCTACTAACCAGCATCACATACAGGGAGCACAACTTCCTACATCACTGTAACTGTCTGCTCCATAAACAGGTCAAATACCATGAACTACAGGAAAGCCCACACTGATTACTTTAAGATGCTTGAGAAACAATTTCTCCTTACACAGAAAACTGCTATGTGTTACGATAGCAGTTGGAGTTGACAAAGTATTTCCCTAAAAAAATGACTTTTCTGGAAAGCCCCTTCATTAGAAACTGTCTAGTGGAAGAATGATAGATTTGGTTTTTCTCATTTAGTCATAGTTCCACAGTCCTACCAAATAATTATAATTTCTCCAATGTAAATATACACTTTATTAGGTGTAAGTTGGAATTTTTTTATCATGGAAAGATGCAAAGTCAAATGACAATCAGTGACTGTGTGTATTTTGTTTTTAAAGTTATACAAGCAACCACTGGAATACACACATTTTTTTGACTGTTCTGTACATTACAGAACTAGCCTATATAGGAAAAGGCCTGGTCCCTCTTCTTACCTGATTCTGCAGCAAAGCATTCATATTTCTTGCCAGTCAAAATTAGACAGTATTTTTCTAAACACCAAGTATATGACTGGGAGATGCATAACTGAACACTAAAGCAGCCCTTAATTTTAGTTCTAGGATTAACACAGTTATAAATTCACTTCACAGAAGAGTAACAAATACAGAAGTCCTGTTCTACATGCCTGCCCTCTGACATGCATTTATGCCCTGTTATTTTGAAAATTCCAGCTTTATCAACTAGAAATTCAAGGTTAAAAGACTAATAAGCAGTCTTTAGTTACACATTCATTATGATCTGGAACTGTATTAGAAGGACTGTTAGGTAAAAAAATAAAGAGTTTACTGAGTAACATAAAAAGTATACAGGTGAAAGAAGCAGCTACTTCTGGAAAAATAGCAACAGATACTGTTGCAGCTGTAAGAGCACTAAGAACACATTGCACCCAAAATACTTCAATTTGTTGTCCTCAAGAGTAATAAGCCAGATAACTGCTGATCAATTATCTGAAGCTTAAGTTTTGGGAATAAGTGTTGGAAAAACAAGACTAGTGGAAAAAACATTCAGAGGAAATCAAGAGAAACGTAACTAATAAAAGTGTCTCTATTATACTGGTTTATTTTTTTCCTAAGCCACTACCTCAGTAAATTACATATCTGAACTTTAGGAAGTCTTTTTTCCTCCTCTCCCATGAACTTTTCACCACATTCCAGAGACAATGTTTCAGTCCTTGGCAAGAGTTGCAGAAAGATACAGAACTGATAGCAAAAACTACTTGAGAACTAGCTATCAATATGTCAATTTGCAAAAGAAACCAAGAATTATGAATGGCCGTTTAACAGTGTAAAATAACATTTACTGCATTTACTGTGGCACAAAGACTGCACAAAAGAAGGGCAATAGTGCAAGTATTCAAGAACACTGAATGGCTAATCATTCAGTGGTACAAGATGCTAAAGTGACCCAGCGATTTCAAAACAAGCAACCAAAACAACAATCACCAGAAACTCCCCAAGAACAACTAGAAATAAGTACACTCGGGCAAAAGTATCAGCCACCCAAACACAGAAAGAGCCACTAGTAAGGCAGAAGCTCTGAAAGAGGGACCCGAACTCCCCAGACTGTGCAGGAGCACTGCAGTCATATATCTGTTCCTTCTTCAACAACATCCTATATATCATAAGGAGCCAGATCAATAGTTTTGTTTGGAACAGATGTTATTGCTGGTAGGGTGGAACAACATCTCAACTGAATGTCTTCTGAGTGGGAAGAGGTGAGAAATCCACAACAGAACTGCAAGACACAAGTCTAAAACACATTATGTACATGGGAAGCCTTTAAAGATCTGCAAAGGAAATATACATAATGCTAAAAAAAGTTTTGCATATCCATGACATTAAGGCAGGACATCCAGGAGAAAAAAAAAAAACAACCTAACATTGCAGCTTCTATTTTTCTAAGTATTAGAAAGACCATCAGGGGACATCAGTTTTTCCATTAGCAGAGTACATTAAAATCAACTAGACAGGTATGAGAAGCAACAATGAAAACTGGTCATGCCTTGGGCCCAAAAGACCCCTTTCAGGTCTAAATTGCTATGATCATAAGATAATATGAGGACATTTGACCACACAGCAACTTGATCTCTCAAAAAGCAAACACCTATTGCTTTGAAAACTACACATACATCAAAAACACTCACTTGCCAGTTCCAAATGAAAAAGTTGTGGATTTACTCTGCAAATATTTAGTTTTTCAACTGCAAAGTACAGTTTTGGTTTTCATTCCAAAGGATGGTTTTAACTGCTAGGTTATTAGCAGTACAAATTCGTTTTAGGATGTCAAGACTCCCAAGGGGAAACACCTATGAGTGAAGCACAGCAACAGAAACCTGCATATCACATTTTGGACAGAAACTCAACTGCAGCAAGTTATTTTGAGCACCAAGCCATCATGGAAGTGCATTCTGTGCATTACTTTCTACCTTCTAACCTTACACACTTTTAGTAACTGCTTGGTTTGCATTTTCAGTAATCAAATTAATAAGCTCCTTGGCACACCAGCAGTTGTGCTTACAAAACACTGCCAGACAACTAAGCAGAATCTCTGGACATGAACAAACTGAATTCACAATGGAAGTCCTACCCAATCACTAAATAAGAGCCTTCAGTAATGGTTCCTCTGGCTTCAATGTCTCCAGTAGATGACAATAACGCGTTAACTATGCCTTGGTTACTGTGCAGACAGTAAACAAAATATCTTTTCTTTTTAACAGAAGAAAGGCAGATTGAAAGGAATGCTATTTAGCTCAGCTATTATTTTCATATCATTAAAAATAATGACAGCAGGTCTCTCTCAGATCAGTTTTCGTATTGTTCAGCTGCACAAAGCAAATGTTTAGCCAGCTTTTATCAAGAAGTCAATGACATGAAGCTTTTCCACTAAACATAATTTACAAGAGCATTATCACCAGATATAGAAAAATATAAAGTTAAACAAGGTAAGACAATTATACAAACTTACTTTGGAAGAAAAACATGGAATCAAATGCTTACAAAGATCTGGCCTGATCTATGAACAACTTTATGTCACCATTAAACAACAACAAAAAATCAATAAGCAACAACAAAATAAATAAGCAAATGAGATAAATAGCTGAAAAATCTTGAAGATAAATTGATATAGCTTCCTATTGTGTAACCAAAATGATATATGGCCCCACCAAAAAGGAAAACTATCATGTGAGAAAAACCTCACAAGATTAAATATAAGCTCTGCAAATCCCTTTAGGAAAAGGAATTGATCAGCTCATTTGTTATACTGAATAAAACCAAAAAATCTAATTTGAATTGGTCAACACAAGTGTGTTACATTGTTTGGACGGTGAAGGAAAGTTCAACTGAAAGCAGCTGTGAGGAAAGTTTGTATTTCTGCACTACCTGTGCATTTTATACTGAGTTAAGGTTAGGTTTTCCTTTTGCAGCGAAAAAAAAATTTCTATATTAGCATGCAGCTTGGGATTATATAACTAAACATTGTTGATACACTCAAGAAGATTTGAGGGTATGGGAATAAACACCTTTATATTACACAAGTATTAAAGAATTGCTTATCCTACAATACTCTGCAAATAGGAGCTCAGGAATGGCAAAACAGTGTCCTAAAGACAGGACCCCATAATTTACAGAAGCCCACACAAGTTCTTTTCCGGAGTTGCATAGAAATTAGCCAGTGCCACATCAGAAAGTTACACACCATCTTCATGCAAACAGGTTATTCCCAGCTTTCAAAAGTACATTTTTTTACTTATAATTTTAAATGGAAACACAACAAGAAGGAGAATGAGAGAAGAAACAAACCTAATCTCCTTCTCAATGCAAGCACACAGTTGTATTTTCTACTGCAATAAAGCAGTAGAAAATAAACAGTTTCCTCACAGTCACTTTAGTGTCAAAATGAGAAAGACCCTAGCAGCAGTCCAAGCAAACACACAGCCCTTTATAATATTGAGGCTGTAGCAAAAGCAGAAGGTAACCTAATTTGTGTTAGCTGGACAGCAGGAGCAACCTAAGCACATAGGGCCTTTAAATACAACCTGAAGCCTGAACACAATCCTACCAGCTTTTGCTGTAAACATTAAAATAGCAACAATTCTATCTTGTTAAGGTGTATGCTCTACAACTATCCCTAATGACCTAGACACTATTTACACAATGTCTCGTGTTTTAAAATACATACAGTAACCAAGCTGACACCCCCCAAAAGGTAAGTGCAGGGAGATTTTTGTAACTCATGTTTTATACAAAGATTTGTAAGCCTTGGGACAGTATTTATTGCACTGAAAGGAGTGAACAGTGCAGAATTATGTACTCGTAGGTTACTCGCTTTTTTGAATCATTTGAATTTCAGTGGATTATGCCTAAATTAACATTTAAATAAAAAATACGAACAAGAGTAAAATCTCCAGAAAGGCTCCCAGTCTGACTGAATACCTACTGATCTCTAAGAAGGATGAAAGAGTTAAAGATAACAGCCAGATTCCACCAGAGGCTTTTTCTCCACTGTATACACTTCTCATGCCTTAAGCTCAACAATGAACCGATACTGGGACTAATCTACAAAGAGCTTGAACTGAAGTAGAAACAAGTACAAGTGTGAAACAAGTAAAGGTACCAGCAACTGACAGAATCAAAATTTTAAAAAAGCTGAATAACTGTTTTCGTATTTAGCTAATACAGTGCATTTTTGCCAGTGTATCTACACTGCCCATCCAATTTAAGTTAGCCTAGAAACATTTTTTCAGTCATAAGTCATTCAAAGACAGACTTCCCCATGCGTGTACACCTTTAGCTATATATTAAAACCTACTCTAAAATTTAAAGAATCAAAGCTGTATCAACTGATTCTTACAGGGTTAAACAACCTGAACATATGAAACAGTTTTTGTAGTCTAGTTAGCCTTGTAATTAAGAAATAAACCCTTATCACTAATATCTGGAGCTGCTGCATGAGGTAGAAAAGGCTTCACAGGACCAGAAGAGGTTGACATACTGCACTGGCCATCTTTCATTCATTAGGAGATATGTACCACATGCTATTTAATTATTCTTTAAGCCTCTTACTTAGAAAAGACTATCCAGTTATTCTTCTTAAGCCACTGTTCATTTATTTACTGTGACACTGATTAGAATGAAAGACAGAAGACAAGGGGCACATTTTTCTCTCAGTTTTTCTCCTTCTAAGGCTCACTGCATCTCCAGAAAGTTTTTCCAAGTTCTGCTGTGGAATTTCATGAATAGATGATATCTTCATTATATTAGTGACTGCTGAATACAAACTTAAGAGTAGCTCAGTATATTTTAAATGTTTGTACGATTGCATGGGCACCTTGAATACTTGTTCTCAGAGAACATCAAAAAGCATGGTAGTTTCTACAAATTAGACAAGTTAAAAAGGTAAAATATAATATGTAGCTCCTCCTTAAATTATCACCAAGTCTTAGGAAGTTGAGCATCACTGTGCAATTAAATGCTGTCTCCAACTGTATAAATCAAGCTTTAATTAGAATTAGGGATACATTTTCCATACTTACAAAGACAAAGCTTTTCTATTTTTAAATATGTGCACTAGCAAAACTTCACAGTTCACATTTCAAGTGTGCCCCTCAATACACATACATCACTAAGAGTTAATTGTTTCCTTTGCATCTAGAAAGAAAATATTTGTCTAACTGTACTTGCTCAGAGGCTCTCCTTCAGATGTCCCTGGCTGTTCAGGAGTTTCCACTGTCTCCTCCATGGATGCAGTCTGTTCTGTCCCACTGAAACAGTAAGCAAACAAAACAAAACACACAACAAAACAAAATAACAGGCTTGAGTCACACTGGAAAAAAAAAAATAAATACATTACTTCTTTTACCAGAATTCCTTGGTAAGGAGGGGGAAAACTCTTTGATTGTAATAAGAAAGATGTATTGAGTGACTAGTTGAGCAACTAATAAAATGAGTAATATTAGGAAAAGACAACTTCTATTTCCTTTAAAGAAAAAAAAAGCACGTATGAAGATGAAATAATTCAATCATGGATACTAATCAAGGTTAGTATCAGTTGTCAGTATAACACTGACATTTGGGGTTGCCTTTTTACTTCTTTTAAAGAACTGAAGTTTCCATTTTCTCTAATACAGACTTTAATTCACTGTCAAATGACAGCATTCACTGCAGTAGCAGGCACACATTTAAAATTAAAACCTTTTAGCTTCAATGCATGATTAGCACAATTAGGGCACAGACATGCTTTAGAACAGTTCAGAGAGCTTTAATTTTTTAAATTGTTTAATTCTCTGTCACACAAAAAACCATTGATATAAATTCTGATGGTAGTGAGCTGAAAAAACAATCGAAAAACCACCAAACCTTAACTAGGGAGAAAATATGTAAGGGCCAATAAATACCTTGTAAGTTCATGAAGCCTTCCCTAATACCCTACAGAAGATAGTTTTCTGCTAGGTGTACTATCAGTTCAGAATAATGTAACCTAGCTGATCCTTTGAAAAGCCAGATTACCTAACCAATCTACTTGTAATATGAAATTCTCTAGAAGGGAGAGAAGTTAGTATAACTTTTCAGAGGAATTTGGAATATCAAGACCCAAAAACTATTACACACCAAGGCTGTATTTTTCAAACTTTCATCATGATTGTCTGGATCCATTAAGTTTTAAAACTTTATTTTATTTAAAATAAAATTTTATTTTTAAAACAATTTTGTCAATGAATGGGTATGTGGCCAAAGATATTTGCTATAAGTTCAAAGCATTGCCTTTTCTCCTTCCTTCATCAGCCATCAATTAAAGTGTTCTAGATGTATATGAGAACAAAAGCTACTGGAAAGACTAATATACTGCTAGGTCCAAAGAATAGACAAAAGCTGACATAATCAGTGAGTTTTTACAAATCTAAACAGAAACCAGTACCACTAAGAGATATACAGAACTGAATGGAAAATTTTTGATTTTTTTTTTTACCTCAAAGTGGTCACCAATCATATTTTGCTACTGGTTTTTCTAGCACTTTAAAATGTACTTCAGTGGTACAGTCAGCTCAAGATTACCTTCAGAGACACACTGAATAGTACTAGTTTTGCAAATTAGAAATTATCCATAAAACTCCAGAAAAGAGAATGGATGTAAAGCCCAGTAACAGAGTATGAATCTTAGCATTTTGGAACAATTCCACTAAATACCAGAGTCCCACATACCTGACTATTGAGAAAAGTAATAGCTTATTTCCATTAAAAGACAACTCAGCTCCACTCAAAAGATTTTGGCAGTCTTAAATGAACAAACACCATCATGCCTTTGCTTCAATTTAATCTCACCATCATGAAGGAGCCAAGTTAAAAAAATTGTAAAATTACATTAATTACAACAATAATAGAAAGTCATGCTTTTAAAGCTCAAAATGGACATGAAACTGCTGAAAATTATCATCTAACATAGGCCACAGAAAAATATGATCTATGATGGGCACAAGTATATGACATCTCATATCATCTTTAATTGTTCTGAAATTATGAGCTCCACCTGCACCCTTTTTGTCATTTGCTTTCACTCCTCTAGAGAGGAAAACAATTCTGAGTTAAAGTGGTTTTTTTTTTCCTTTTTTTTTAATGACCGTTGTCTTTTTGACAGCCAACCTGGATATAACAGAAGGGAACAGAATACCTAAAAGACAGTACTGCAGTGCTGATTATTATTTACTTGTATACCAAGTTAAAAACAACACACAGAACACTTACGTTTTATCATGCCCACTTTGTCTTACAGGTTCCCGTTTTCTTCTTTGGTCAAATCTATCAGAACTTCCATTTAATCCACCACCTCTTCCTCTACCTCTCATTCTGCCTCTTCCTCCACCACGACCTCTTACTGGTCTTTCATAGTCTAATCTTTCCACTAGTCTAAAAAGAAGACAATTAGTCAGATTTTTTTTTTTAATAGAACCATTAACAAGAAAAAAACCTCATATTGTTATATTGTGTGCAGCTGTGGGACACAACAATATATAACAGCTACTGCACAATTTTTAGAGTGCATCTTTATACAGCACGCACTTCAGCTCTTTTGGTTTTGTCATTAAAAATGGACATAAACAGAACTCCGGAGGAATAATTACAGCACACAGGAACAGAAAGATCATCAGTTACTAACACTGAAAACATTACAGAAATTAAAGAAAACATGATAAAACAGTCAAATCTTCAAAACTTTATCAAGCAATAGCTCCACCATCTAAACCCATATTTATATGCAACTGCTAAAAATTCCAGACAGCTTGTTAAACATCAACTATCATGGTATAAAGTAGGAACAGCCACATTCTGAAGCATTAAAGGTTTAGGTGGCATCTTCTAGTACTTATGAAGAAAGCAAAATCAATATGGATTCACTGTCCAAGCAGCAAGTTCCAGCTTGGAACGTCCCACATGTTCTGCAAAGCTTGCTGTGTGAGCTCAGAAACAAACATTATAAATATGCTGCTGACTAGGGGGTACATTTTCAGATCTTTAAATTTTTCAGTTTTGCCTTATATTTCTAATGTTCAACAAAAATGTTCCAATTCAACCCCCAAGGAAGCTGAAACTACAGCTCCAACAGGCATGAAGTAAGTAGTCTTGCAAAAAACCTGCACACAAATAATGCACAGATCGTCTGCGAGGGGCCTTAGTTTTCTCTGCAGGATACATACCGTTCCACTGAGAATTCCACTTGTCTTTGTGTTCCATAGGGACAGTATTCCCTGAAAGACGGCCTCCATTCAGTTTTGTCTTGCTTCCCCTCTGTACTTCTGTTACCAGACCCTCGTCTTTCTCCCTGCCTGGGTGCTCGCTTTGGGCCTACACAAACACAGGGAGGGATTACCAACAGCACAACAGTAACACAATTGCAGTTACCAAACTACTGACTCTAGTGAGTTGGTTATGCCTCCAAACCCAAGTCCACCAAAATATGAAAAGTTCTTATAGCTAATGTTGCCAGACATTTTGAAAGACACATACTTATTTTACCTTCTGTATTGATGAACCTGCAAAGTACTATGGGTTTTGACACATGTCAGAGATCTCCAGAAAACATAGTCTAAATAAAAATCTCATTTTGTTCACAAGGAGAACAAAAAGTGTTTGTTTTTGTTTCCTCTCATGTTTTCAAGGGTCATCAAAGTGTAGTACAGGATGAGGTGGAGAAGCTTCAATGGAAAAGATTAATTGAAAGATAGCAGCAGAAGCAATGAAGATGAGGGAAAGAGAAGGACCCTTTACAGACAGGTGCTGACTGTGAAACAACACACCTCCTGCAGATGAGCTCAGTTTAGAAGCCTGAGCCTGGAGGTAATCTAAACTCATGGCCACAGTATCAAACAACCAGCACAAGGCTACCACCTCACACTGCTGTTCTGTGGAAGAAAGCAGCATTCAACAACAGTAAAGGTCACTGAGTTCAGGTGACAGAGACCCAAACAGCAAGTAGAATGACTTAACACCACTAATTCTAGAACATAAACATATTCCAAGATAAAATATATTTAAACTTTTTAGAGTTCTGTTCAGCCAATGTTGGGTTTGGGGAGGATCAGGTTGGACAATGGAAAGAAACTGTGAATTATAATAGAATGAAGTTTTACACTCAACCGGTATACATGTAGCGGAAAATTAAGGTTCTTTATGTCCTTCCTTTCCCATTTTCCCTAATTCTGATCTCTATCTGTGACCAAGTTCTCCAGAAGCAAGCAAGTCTTTTTGTCTGCTAGGCCTCTGTATTTAAACCAACACTTTTTTCAGCCAATGGTGTAAGTTAATCAAGGAACAGAAAGATGGATCTCAAACAAAACTGACCTACTGTTTCCACAATGACCTGTGGAATGCTGAGCAGATTACTGAACTCAGGTTAGTGGACAAGTGACAGTGGTGGCTATTGTACCTCTGTTGATAGAACATAGAGAGGAAAAAAAGGCTCTTTTATGTTGCAATATTAAGATGCAAATAAATTCATAGCCCCATAGAAATGCCTATATAAGAAAATTTTTGATCAAAGCTTAGGTGGTAAGGATGAAGTCTAAAACCATTTGTAAAGAGAAAGCTTCAAAGAGCTATCCACTTGGTGAATAAGTGGTAAATAAAGCTTTTTGTTATGCAGTAAGAACAGTCATATTTGTACAGAGAAGATAGTTTTATATATGGTGCAGAAGCAACTCCAGCTTTACTTTTCTTTAAACTACAAACCACTTGACATAATATATTCCAGTAATTCTCTTTTCTCAAGGTTTGAAGTTACTCGATCCTTAGAGCACTAAGCATATTTGCATTATCCAAATTATGATATAACCTCTGGATAAATGACAACTTTTGAAATCAGTTTCTGAGTAAGCTTTTCAAAACAAGACATTTTAACGTAAAGCAAAAAATTATAAAAGATACAGAATTGCACATGCAGCTGGGAAATTTCTGGTCTACATATATCTCAACTACACTACCAATTATTACAATAATTCTAAATTGGAATCTTGCTGTGGAAAAAAATTACTACTAATTTCTGACCTCATTTTAGTTATTTTGTTTGGATCTGAACATAGAACAATGCATAGAAGACTATGGTGTTATTTTTGATCCTCTCATTTGCTTTCAGAAGCACCAGTTATTCTAAAAAAATTCCTTTGTCAAAAATGCAGTAGTCAGACACTCATCCCTACATACTTAGTATTAACCTCAATTTCACCTTGAGATTCAAAGACCTCCTTAGAGTTAGCAAAACAGTACCAAAAAAAGAAGATGCAGAAGTCATTTAAAAAATTTAGTGTCTCATTCTATCATCCAGTACTGCTGAGAAGTACTTCAAAACAAGTCTTCTTGCCAGACATGTCAGTGTATTACATGCCAGCAGCATTAAGCATGCTGGATAGAGCCATCTGTTCCACTCTAATTTCAGTGCAAGGCTATTTCACTTTGATTCCAACAGGTGGCTTCATTTACTGCAGATGGATTTTAAACACTAGAAAGACTATTTTATACAGGTAGTAAGTGCCACAAAAACATCCTTAATTGGTTTGACAGACATGAAGTAGTGGATTAAAGCAGCATTCAGCACCTGTATCTCTCTAGTAGGACAAGTCACCCTCAGGGCAGAAGTTTGAGTGACCTGCTTGTGAATCAGTTCAAAAAAACAGCCCAACTTTCAGCTCTGCATGTAAGTGCAAACCAAACTGGAGCCTGGCAGCAGTGACAGGATAAGCTATACAATTTTAGTCCTCTGCTACGTGTATGCTTTAACACAGACTCAGTTTAATTTATAAAGCTCAAGGGCCACCTACCCTTTTGAGGACAAAAAAAACAAAGCAACAAAATCAAGACAAAGCATAAGCCGTCTTGTATATCACTGACATAGTAACTTAAAGAACTGGGGTACTTTGAATGCTTGCTTAGTAACTACCTGACCAAGTGCACCCCAATTTTGTCTGCTTGCTTGTATATATAGTCTGGTATGCAGGTTTTCTGCAAAACCACAAAAAAAACCACAAAAAAACCAAAAGAAAGCTTTAGAGTTCAGTGGGTCATCTACTTGAGGCCTTACAAACATAATTCTGAAAACTGAAGATCTCTCTTTCCTATTTACCTAGTTTAGCCACTTCAAAGTGGTTTTTCTGTGTCTTAAAATTACATATGTAGTCTGTATTCACCTGAATACGTGTCCCACCATTGTCCACCACAGCTTCCCTGGATTGTCACTGCATAAGCCCAGTCTGTTGGCTAAACTGACCATCACTTTACTTTCTAAACTGAGGAATCAGAAAAGAAATCTGATGTTTAAAGTGTTTCATCAGATTTAGCTTTTTTTTTTTCTCAGAAGAAACAGCTGAAGTATTATTAGAGTGAAAAGATCTGTAAATACTAGAATTGCCAGGTACTAAAACTAGACAGTACTAAAGAAAAACAGCTTAATTTCATGAGATATTGTTAAAACTCTAGATCATACAGAGCAAATACATGCAAGTAGTTTTCACTTTCCCCACAATAACACTTCACTATTAGTATTAGTTTTGCTAACACTGCAGCACTTCGATAAGAAGGTTTTCTAGAGAAACGTTTTTAATAAGTATATACACAGAACTTGCAAATGGAAAAGCAGAACTTGTATTTTTATAAGCTGCATTGCTTGGTTTCCCAGACACTGGATATCTATGTATTAACAGACAGATTTAAAACAACACAGCAAAATGTAACTGCCTTTCCAGTGTTGCTGTCCAGCTCTCTGCAAGTTTCTCCATCCATATCACCTATCCTCAAACAAGCAAGACTTTGCTTGGAAAGAGGTATCTCTCTAAGTTTTGTGGCTCTTCACTGACCTGTACTGAGAGAATGGGCTCTAACCTTTTTAAAATTTTTTGTTTTAGAAGGGTTTTTCTATAGAGAGCCTTGACTTTGGACAAATACCACAAGGAGCCCAACTTGCAACTGCTCTCAGTGACTATAAGCTAAAGTAGAAACCTTGCTGTTTCTCCCACTCCCCAGTGTAAGGAGTATTATGATGTGATGGTGGCAGCTGGCATGCAATTCACAAGCTGAGGGAGGTAACTGCTTGCAAAGAGCAAATGGGAAAAAGAGTGTTTGTGGAAAGGTCACATTGACAGAAGACTCCCCAGCATAAAAAGAGACACTTGACCGATCAGAGATGCAGAATTACATTTTTTGCCTGAACGGATAGATCTAATCATTATAGCATGGAATGTGATCACCAAAAGCTTACAAAAGGAGCAAAAAATACCAGAATTGGTGAAAACCACAGCCACAAAGCTGTGGAGTAAGATCAGCATTGATTACTGAAACTGATAGCTTGGGATTGATCCATAAATAAAACCAAAAACAAATAAATGAAAACAAAAAAAACCACAGAACAAAACCCACCCAAACAAACAAAAAAATCAAAACAACAAAAACCAACACCACCCCCAACCCCCCCAAAAAATAGGGAGGAAACCCCCTCCACCTTTGAAAAACTATCCTTCCCAGTATACTTCAAAACTACAAAGTTCCCAAAATAGGTCTAAAGCTTTGGCAGAAATACCTTGACCAAACAAAGCAACAAAGAAAACAATTGTGAGGAATTTTTAGGTACAGTAGGGTACTGAAGACCCCATTGCCAGGGCTAGGGCAGTTAAGTAAACCACTGAAAGAAGTTATCAAGGCAGAGGAACTGGAACTGGAGTCTGAAGCAAGAAAGGATATTCCAAGCCATAAAAGGAGTATTGGTTATAGGTCACATAATTGTGTGTGTAACACAAAGTAGAACTGATTCTTAAACAATATGATAAATATGATTGTCCTGTCAAAACATGAATTTCTCTTAATTTGAAATTATCAATTTGATTACTATTACTTTAAAAGGATGCCATATTTTGAAGTCAGCAATTCTGCTATTTGTTCCTTCCAACAGTGAGCCACATCATGATTGCTACAGGGTGTTTCACTCCAGCCAGCTATGGACAGTACTGTAAATCAGCCTCTAGAGACCTTAGATCTAATACTGTTCACCAATGGATCATCATGCTATGTAAACGGATACACAGAGGCTATACACTGGTGAGAAATTTTGAGGTGCTTGCAACTGAACCTCTACAGCCCTTGCTGATTGCCCAAGAGGCCAAATTAATTGAATTAGCAAAAGCAGCATTGCAGTGACATGACCAGCAAGCACCACTATTTACACTGAGTCTAAGTAAGCTTTTGGAGTGTGTCATTAAAAAAAAAAAATAAAGTCCCTTGCTTCAGCAGAAAAATCGTATTTCTGATGGATTTTAAATCCATCTGTTGGATTAAGCTATTAAGGTTTCAAGGGAAATTCCTGT